AAAATGTTTTCTGAAATAAAAAAAAGTAGGTTATAAAAGGTACTAAAAAATTATATTGCTATTCTCAATCATAAATGTAGATACCATCAGTATTTTGGCTTTAAGACATTACTCTTTAGATTTAATATATTCCCTGAACATATTTACAACAAATGAGAAACAATTATAATGTTATAGCATGTATCTCCAATATTATCTTCTAGACTTAATAGGCATATATTAATATTTATTCATTCAAGAAATGTACTTACTCATTATTTTTGATATGTGAAAGATAAAGTTTGTTGTACAGCAAAAAGAGTCTTTTATGTTATAAAAGGATAACTAGTGATTAAGAATTCTAAAGGTAGTACTGAAATAAGGTCACTATCAGAAGGTATTCTTGGGATTGGCAGTTGTTAATTGACATTTGTTCCCCAGTACCTGGTGATAATTGATATGCACATATTTACAGCTAAAATAGGAGTTGATGGGAAGAAAATATATGTATACCTATTTAGTGCAACAGTATGAAAACCCATAAAAGAGTAATTCACAAATCTTAACACAAGGTGGGAGAGAGAAAGGGAGGAAAGTTATTTTTCCCTTCCCCTGAGCAAACATGTAATTTCCATGATTTCTTTTTAATGACTTCGGTCTTCGGCCAGTAGGTACTGATTTATGAAAAGCTGTAAAAGATCAGGTGGAACTCTATAGGACATCGTTTACAGCTGCACGGATTGAAACCTATCTAATTTGTCTAGTAAAAGTGTGAGCTCACAGAGCACATCACCCAGCCTATAAATTTCCCCTTCAAGCCTAACGTCTGGGGCTGGGTCTGAAAAAACGCCAATCCTTGCAGCTGCTCAAAAGGCCCAGATTCCCTTGGTGCACATGAAGAGACATCACAGGCTCTTCACAGTGAGAGACAAATTCCTATCCATTGATAAACTCTCCAGATGTCCTCTCCGAGGAGGAAAGGAACCAATTTTTATTTGAAATCCCCCGAGAAATCCTGAAAGTGGAAAAATGATACTTTGCAGGGCTGGTTATTCTGAGGTCACTGGCATTAAAATTAGGTCATTTTTTTTTTTTTTTTTGTCTTGGTTGTACTTTGATCCAAGTCATAAACAGACAAACTCAGTTGGGGTCACTCTAATCCCTAATCCGCATGTCCTGTTCTATTTCAATTTGTTTATCCTAATTTTCTCTAAAGTCTTGTTGAGTTTGGCTAAAGTGTTGAGTGTAAAAGTACAAAAACCATTTTGAATTGAGAAGAAAAAATTCTGCATTTTGCTATTAGGCACACTTCATAAATATACTGAATAGATGTCCTGGGGTTTGATTCTCCATACCCACAAAACCATAAATAAAAAAGTATTACCATTCATGGGACTAAAAATTGACATCAGGTTCTATGCTATAGCTACTGTAGATCTAGAAACTGTGGTGGGGGTGTGTGTACCTGCACACCTGTAGATAGTTTAATATTTTATTGTCCTTTTTTCTAGGTCCCGCTTCAGTTTTTTCATAAAGTTTTCTCATGACTGATTTAATGCTGTTTTTATCAACTTTGTTTACTGGTTCAATGACTTACTCAATGAATCCAATGTTATATCTAGTGCTTGCTAGCAATGAAGGCTATTTCACCCATGATAGCCATGCTAAAACAACCCAAGAATATTGTGTAAGATTTAGAACATGGATTGTATAACTATATCTGTAATTCCTCAAATTCTAAAGAAAAGAACAAAAATAAGAAATTTTCATTATGAAAATAAACTGTTTTTTTCTTTCTTGGATGAGTAATTTAAAGAATCATACAAAATTATTTGTCTTTATGCTTCAGAAGAAAATAATTTATAAAATGTTATATTTATATTTTTCGGTTTTCTAGCTATCCCTGAAAAAAAGAGAATTAATGTTTTGTAAAATAATGCCTAATGTTTTAAAAATAATCTCTGAAAGTTAGTTAAAACTAAACCATATCACAGAAATATAAATGATAAACTCCATAATTCAAATTTTAATTTAAAACTTGAACACAAAGTAGAAAGGGTTGAAGTAGTTGAGTTTAGTGTGATGGAAAGAAGTTTGAAAATTCCTTCACATTCAACTGCCCCCCCATTTACACAAATGATCTTGAGAGGGCAGGAACTAGCTATTAATCTATATTTCCACAAAAGTTGAAAATTGAGGCAGAACCAGAATATAATATTGCCATTCCTTAAAACTCAGCATTAAGATCACATTAAAATGTGACTATTTATATCAAATAAATGTAATGCATTCCCACAAAAATGAAGATGAATAATCAATTTACAAGCTCTTCATGTGCTCCAAGCAACAGCATGCAATTCTAAGGTATGATCCAAAATCGTCCAGGCTTGAGAATCTTAACTTTACATTTACGCAAGTCTGGTATATCAGGGAGTGAGTTGGGAAAAATATCAGTAGTTGTAGAAACCTCCCAACTAAAAATCCTTTTAAATGTAGATAGAGTTGGGACATTTATGGATTTGCATCGCAGAGAGATTTTCTCATTAAGAAGAGGAGCTTTTACCACATCTAGATGGTAACCAATGGCTGCTACTCATAGGTAAAACATTGTATAGTTTCATTTTATCTGTAACATTCATTTTGCTATTATTTCATGCTGTTTCTAAAGATATTATTAAAATTAGCACTTAGAGAGCTAAATTCATTTCTAAAATAAGGATAAATGCAGGTCGATATATCCTTCATTTATTTTGATGTCTTCTGACAACTAATTCTAACTGTTGAAATATTTTTTAAATGTTGAATTTAAATACCTCAAGGGATGCCATTCACTGAAGCAAATAATGCATTTTAAGTATTTAAGAAAAATATGACATTCTAGTTATAAAACCCCTAATATTGGGGATTTAAAAAATAGTGATTCTTAAAAAGATTTAAGAGATTGGTGCAGACTAAATCCAACCACAGAATCAACAAATATGAAAGATTTAAATGATAATTCTGAAAAGATAAATATCAAATTGCACCTTCTTAATTATAAAATAAAGATTGGGTTATGATATATAAAGTTTTAATCTTAATAATATATTTTATTACAATAATAAAAACAGGAATGACAGAAGGCAGAATAGCACATCCATTTACAAGCATTGGCTGTGGAATCATTGTGAGCTCATAAAAGTCACCAACTATTCTAATGAGGTCCCTAACAATACCTACTTTCCTGTGTTGCTGCACTATTATGTACATAACATTACATATGACTATCTAGTTACTCAAAATTATGATTAACAAAGTCATTGCATTCTCACCATTTTATATAAACTGTTGTTTGCTATATTATTTTCTTTTTGAAGTTTTAAAATATTAAACCATTTCACCAACAGTGTTACCTTTGTCAGAATAATGAACAGTTAAGAGATAGTGTGTATTTTGTGCCAAAACTGTCCTAAGGGCTACCTACTTATGCTCATTTAATTTTCATTTGTTTGAATTCTGTATCATCACCATCATCTCCATTTTATAGGTGAAGAAACAGACAAGATAAGAACACACTCGAGGTCACACAGATAGTATGTGGTACACCCAGGATTCGACCAGACCTTAAGGTTCCAGTATCTGTACACTAAGCCACTATATACTTCAGGACATATAAAAATTAAATAGGGGGTACTCAATATGAACAAAGTTTCATCTAAGTGGTATAACATAGTAGCAAAGACTGTGAGCTGTAGTATAAAGTAACATGGGTATAAATCCTAGCTCTGCCTCTTTCATCTGGGAGAACTCGGATTTATAACTTAATCTCATTAAGGTTTGTCATGTCTGTGTGCCATGCTTAGCATAGCATCTGGCACATTAGAAGTGCTCAGGAATGTTCAATATAATCAGAAAACAGGACCTTCATAACATATGGCTGTTGTTATTAATATTATTAATCCAAAAACAAGAGCTTTCATAACTACTACGTGCTTGAGCTCCCTACCTTAAGAGAAACGAATAAAGAAAGAGAAAGGTCAATAAATTGTTCACCTAGTGACTGGCCTAAGCCTTACAAGTCAAAAGACAATCCAAAAAGGTCCTTGAAAGCTGAAAAAATTAAAAAACACTGTAAAGACAGTGATTAACAGGCTGCTTCTTTTGACTTTTCAAGGATGTAAACATAGTCTCCTCCATTTCTTTTATTTGTCTCCTGTTCCTTTGATTCACCAGATTTTGCAGGTAGTCATAGATTGACAATCGGCCTATAATTTTATAGACCAATCCTAGAAGTCCTTCTTCTTAATGTTGATCATATGTTGTGCAATATAAATCATAATCACAATCTCTCTCTCTCCACATATATAATATCAAAATGTGTACATATATAATTTTACATGTATATATTACATATACATATAGTGAACTACATTCGGTGTCACCAAGTATGAAAGAATTTTATTTATCATTACTCACTTACTTTTTTCTATTCTTTTGATAATTTTTATCTTTAATCACATTTGTGACATTATTTAACTCTGCCCTAATTTAATGTCCTGGCGCAAGTATAGTCTAGGTTGTTCCAGCCATTCTTTAGACAGCAGCCTATACAATGTCTAACAAACAAACACCCAGTGGGCAAGATATAATGTTAAAACCAAATTTATTATCAAAGCACACAGCAAAGTGTTCAGTGTGTCATTTCTGCGATTACTGTATCCTAAATTACTGCCATCTTTGTCAATGATTAAACAAATTAAATTATAATAAGGTATATATGGATATATTTATGCCTTTCACTGGCAAAGTTTCAATGATTTAAAAAGCAGTTGTGAGTGGAGAAGGGGAGCACTTAGACAAGATGATTACACGATATTCCTCCTAGCTGCCAGCTTGAACAGATGAAGCCTTCATGGCAGATAAATTCCACAAATGAACAGGAACATCACACGATGTCTGTTCCTGCTGATGTTGGTGTCAAATTTTGACACACAGCATCTCTGCTGACTCCTGATCTCTCTCCCTTTGGTGTTTTCTTGCAGGCCATCAAACCTTCTTCTTGACCAAAGCAATGTCGATATCACTACCTTCCGCACAACAGGTGACTGGCTTAATGGCATCCGGACAGCACACTGCAAGGAAATCTTCACAGGCGTGGAGTACAGTTCTTGTGACACCATAGCCAAGATTTCCACAGAGTAAGAAAAGAATTTTATTAAAAAGAATTAATAACTCTTGTGAACTTCCTACTGAATACATGTTTTGTATGAGTGTTTTATAAATATTCATTGTACCTCTGAGGTACTTACTGTCTTCTGTAACTGCTGAGTGAGGCCCTGGGTCTCTTTGTAACCCACACCTTCTGGACTCATGCACGTTGCTGTGTCTTTCTCCCTTATGATAGGGCCCTAGCATAGGGGTCTTCATTGACACTGTGACCTTCAGATAGACCAACAGATAAATACCTATATCTCTACTACAGACCCAAGACCCGAATTTAAAACATGAGCAAATATAGCTTGATGATTACATTCCTGCATTTGTGATTTTCTGTTATTTTTACCAAAGCTTAACCTCTGTGAGTGTGGAAAATTGAGAACTGATTGGATAATCTGGCATACAAGGAAATAAGTTAAAGTATAAAAGTAGTTTTCACAGCTACTAAATAAACATATCACCATCTAGTCATCATTGTCTACTCTGTAAAGGATATCATGCTAGAAAATGGAGCTATAATTAGATTTAAGATAAGACTTTTTGGGTTTTCCTTAATAGGGTTATTGTCAGTTGAAAAAGATGGAATATGCATCAGAATATCAATATTAGTTTATGGTCTCATGTGTTAAAAGCCAGGAATAATCAAATGTAATATGATATATTTCTTAGACAGAGATCCTTTGGTAACAAGAATCTTAATTTGAGAAACAGGTGGACTCAAGACAGGGGGTTTGTAAAGAATCAAGTGAATCCAGTGAATAATCAAATATTTTAGTCTGGGGGGAATTTAAAAAAAGGAAAAAAAATTAAAAAATTTAGCAGTTATTGGCAAGGTATGGTATTTGGGAACCACGAAATGAAGAGTTAGAAGTCATATTTTTTATTTCTTTATGAATGAGAACCAATTTACTTCACTTCCTAATGTAACTGAATCTTTTTTTTTTTTTTCCTTTTCTGCACAGTGACTTTTTCTGTATAATATCCATGCAAATAACTAAAAATGGCTTTCTCAGTTCTAGGTCATACAATCTCCTAGTGCCACTCCTGACCAGGGCCCGGCTCTTTTAAGTTCCCAGGACAGAAACTGAGACTGGCTCAGTCCCACTCGTAGCCCTTTTAAGCTCATATGTCTGCCAATGTCTAGTCCTTTCTATTCAAAAGAAGTAGAATGAGATAGAATGAACTTGGCTATAGGAAGCCTTCCCTGAGGGTAAGATGGAGGACTGTGCCAAAGAAAGAGGTGTGTGCTGGGCAGATACACCAAAGTTGTCCAGAATGTTTGCATGGTCTGTTGGGAAACTGTGTTCATCTTTGTGTCATAGCCTTTCTCTCTTTGATCTTTTTAAATTAAATAAGCCCTTTATTCCCTTCAAGTTCCTTTAAGTATTATCTCCTCCAACTATTTTTAAATTTTTTAATGTTGAATATATAAAGAATTTCATTGTCACTATGTCAATTATTTAAAGACAGTCACAGTGGAGAACACATAGCATATCAAAAAGAAGTATGCAGTATAATTCATAGAGATACAAGCTCCTAACAAACAGATTGCTAAGTTTACAATTTATGACATAACATAACATTACAATCAGAAACACATAAAGCTTTTATCTAGAAAGCAAAGCCTTTAAAAAGAAAAAGATACATGTAAAGTCACAAAAGTACTTACAGAAAGGGTTTATTACTATTAGACAGGAGAACTTGTTCTGAAAAAGTAAACCTACTCTAGTCTATTTGTCATGCATTGGCATACTTGTTCACATGGAATGTGGCATTTATTGAACAGACTTTTGATCCAATGGAAAATAACCTTTGGGTTTCTATGGTACTTATTTGGATCAGATACAGTCTCAGGATATATTCATGTATTTAAATATTTTTATAAATTCTTAGTTCAGTAATATAAACAGTTAGGGTTATGTTATACAGCACACCTATTTTACAGCACAGAAGCAAAGCGAAACACAAACAAAAAATTGAACATTTCCACACTATTGCCAGATTTTCAAATGTAAACTTATGCAAATGTTTATTTTCAATAAAATATCAACACTCAGAGCTTTTAGATATTGAAACCCTACATTGAAGTGTCTGAGGCAGAACACAGTTAATAAGATTAACTGCTTAGTTTGCAATTTAAATACAGCTATGAGTGTGATAAGAAAGCTATTTGCTTAAAAAAAAAGTGAAATGACAGCATTTGTTATACTTCCAAGTTAGCTGTGTTTTGTGTCAACAATACAGTGTTGGGCATTAAACTCTTTTTGGCTGATTAGCATATATTTACTTTATTATTATTATTATTTGAACAACCTATGAACATACATTCAAGATGAAAGCTGACTTTTCCTGAGAGACTCAGCTTTGTCAGGGTTGGCCTTCACGCTGAGTCAAATGGTCTTGGATTATCTCTGTATTCCACTCGCCACAATATTCTTTCTTCTGCCCTTTCCTTTCAATTTAGGGACAACATCGATTGCCCTGAAACTACTTGAAAGAAATTGTTTTCTCCTCAAGCTTCCACAGTGTCATGAACTCTCAGTTCGTATATCAAAAAGAAGAATTTATTAAAAATCTTTAATATGCTAATAATTTCAGTAACTTATGTGAGGTAACATTTTCACATTAATATTTAGCTAAATATTTTCTTTTCTTTTGCAGTCTCGGGCTCATTGTTTGACCTTGATTGCTTTTCAATCTTTACATTCTTTGTGCCAACCACACGCAATTCAGAAATGATTCTTTTGACAACATAATTCTAAGGATTCCCCTAGAATAGGCAGAGATACCTAAGATGAATACTGAATTCCTTTTTTTCCCTATACAATCAAGTCATAAAGAAAGATCAATAAAGTTGCACATTCAAATAAATATTAATTTATTTCAGTTAGTTTAGGGATTTAATAGACATGCAAGCTACTCAAGTCAGCTTATTTTCAAATGAAGCTCAGAAAATATGCAGCTTATTTAATAAATATATATTTTAAAATATTATTTCATAGCCTAAAATGGAATTAGGAAGATTAAAATGAGAAAAATTGACAGAAAGGAAAAGGGCAAAGTGAGTGTGACTGTAGGATCTGGAGAGGGAATTAGGTGTGTGGAATGAATGTTAAGTACATTAATTGCTACATGTCATTATCCTACACCCTTGGATGCCATTTTCAAAGTGTCATCACCTGTCCTTTTGCCTTTGAAGTCCCAGATAACACATTCACCTCTGGTCTCAACCTTGAGCTGCACTTTAGTCTGAACTTTTCCACCACTTTCCTAAATAGGATAGTCAAAATGGAATGAACACACTGGGAGTTTTATTGAGACTACAGCTGCTGGGTCTTCAGAGCTATTTTGGACATGGCAGAGTGGTTGGTAGAAGACATGTGGCAAGAGCAGAGAGTAGAAGATACATAAAACCGCAGCAAAAGGATGAGCCAAAGGGATAATTGCTTTAATTCTCATTTCCAAGCTCCAATATAATGTTTTGTATTAAGTATAAGCAAAATTATATATATATATGTTTGATTGTATTAGGTTCCCAAAGAATCTAAGGAAGTTTTATGCAAAGATTTCTTGAGGCATATACTTGGGAGATCCATTTAAAAAGAAAAGTGATGAGGAATGTCTCAAGTTGATCTGTGAGCACTCAGCATCTGATTGTTTTCCAGCCACTTGGGGATGAGTGCTTCAGTTCAGAAGAGAATATCAGGGCCAAGCATCACAGCATGGACTACTCAAGTCACTATGCTTACATTTCTCAAAGAGCTCAGGAAATTACCATATTACACTGGAACCTTTTTCCGCTTTCTATGTGTATCATTTTGTTATTAATAAAGTTTATAAAAGACAGGGAAAGGGAAGAAACAAAGAAAAAAAACAGTCATAAAAATATAATACAGTATTGGAGGAAAAATGAAAGAAAATACAAAAAGAGTGAGAATCTATTGATTTTACACCTATATTTATGTCTGTCCTGTTTTATGGCTTTAGACTCATGACCTAATTTTGTTATAGTTTGGGGATGAATGGAGAAATGTTTATCACGTATTTTAAAGATAGATCCATGGTACATAAATAGGTATAATCCCACAACACACATTCACAAAGGCATGGATCAACAGAAACAGCATATATTACTCTAACGAAGATGTTCTTTGTCCAGTTACACTAAGAGTGCAAACCTGATATTATCATACCTGCACACAAGCTTTCCTCATGAAGAGAAGGCAGCAGAGGAGTGTGATCAGAGAGGACTGCAGGCATGACACAAATTGTCCATAGAGAATTAATCAGCTCTTTGCATGTTAATAGGGAGGGAACCTGGTGGTCATTAGGAACTTCATTCCCAGCCCAGATGATAGTGATGTAGTACAGTCTTGGTTAATTTCATACAGCTGATGCTTAAATAATAAGTACTTTGCTTCTCAAAAGGATACCTATTATCTTCTTGCACACTTTTATTGCTTTGGAACCCACTTATTAAGAAATCAATTAGTCCATTTCTATGTAGTTGAATTCCCAAATTTTCTCTCTCTTTATGCTCAGTATAGAGGAATCCTTTTCTGTGTGTATGTGCATATGGGTGTGGAGTGTGTTCATGCATGCATCTTTTATTCTTGCTTTCTCAACTTGCCTGGCTCTCCTTGCCATTTGGTACTTTATTCCCTGGTCAACTTCACCCTGAAAAATATATTTTCTATGTTTCTTTGTTTAGTAAATTTGTATTGAGCCTACTAAACAGCAGCCATTGTTCAAGGTGCTATTGATAAGCGTAGTACAAAATAAGCAAAAATCCCCGTTCACATGGAACCTACCTTTTTGTGGGACAAGAAAGGAAATAAAGAAAATTAATAAAAAAGAAAAGTGATATGCTAACTGGTAGTAAATGCTTTGGAAGAAAATGAAAGAAAGGAAAAGAGAAAGTGCAGACACAAGTGCAGGAAGGTTTTACAATATTAAATAGGAGGATTGGGGAGGTGCTCACTAGAGGGGGATATTTGAGCATCCTCATTCCTGAAAGAAGTGAATATATGAACTAATTACTTGAAACAAGAATATATAACTAATAATTTGCACATTTAGCTAAGTCTTTCCTTTTTCCTAAATGAAACGCTGTATGTTTTCATAATCTTTATTTTAATGCCTGGTTTCCGACTTTAAACTATGATAAAGTTAATAAATAAAGACATGTCTTTATCATTTTTTCCTACTTTGAAAGAACTCTGCACTTTAAAGAGATATGTCAGTTATCTATGGCTCTGTTAACAAACTGCCCCCAAATTTAAAGAATCAAAAAACAGCTTTATTATACATTACAGTGTTGTGGGTTATGAATTAGGACTGAGCTCAGGTGGGTGATTCTTTGTACTGTAGTGTTGGTGTAGGCTGAAGCTTTCAGCTGACAAATGGACTGATCTGGATTGGAGGGCTGGAGATGCTTTCATTCAGATGTCCGCCTTGGTGCACGTGGCTACCTAGCTGATCTCATCTGGCACTGTAGACCAGAGTGCTTACACACAGCCTCTCTGATGCCATAATATCAGGTAGTCAGACTTCTTATATGGCAGCTTTTATATAGCAGAGAGGATTTATTAAGGAATAAGAAGTGGAAGCTGGCAATTTCTTAAGACCTGCGTGCAAAAACTGATACAATGTCACCTCTGGTATAATCTGTTAGTGAAAGCAGTCCCAGAGCTGGCCTGGATTCAGGGGAAAGAGATGAAGTCCCAAAAAGAATGTATGACTATCTGTATTAGTTTCCAAAGACTGCCACAGAAATTACATTACCATAAATTTATTGGCTTAAACAACAGAAGTTGATTCTCTTACAATTCTAGACACCAGAAGTATGAAATCAAGATGCTGATAGGACCATACTTGTTTCAGAGTCCCTAGAGATGAATCGTTCCTTGCCTCTTCCAGCTTCTGGTGGTTCCTGGTGTTCCTTGGCTTGTGGCAACAGCACTCCAATCTCTGCTTTCATTTTATGTTGCTTCTTCCCTGTGTCATTGTGTGTCTTATGCTCTTATAAGGAACTGTCATTAGATTTAGGTTCCACCCTAATCCAGTATAATATTTCAATCCTTGCCTTAATTACATATGGAAAGGACTCTATTTCCAAATAAGGTCACATTATGAGGTTCTGGATGAACACAAATTTTGAGGGAACACTATTTAACCTACTACACCATCTATACATTCTTCCGCAATATAGAGGTAGAATAGTGAGGATATAACATGTGAATGATGCAAATATTAAAAAATCAGGTCCAAAGTACTGGAATACATAATTGTGCAAATTTTGCTAATTGAAAATTTCCTGCTTATATACTATCTAGGAAACCATGATTCTCACCAGATATTTTTTTCTTTTTTTTTTTTTTTTTCCACAGTGACATGAAAAAGGTTGGTGTTACCGTGGTTGGGCCACAGAAGAAGATTATCAGTAGCATTAAAGCTCTAGAAACACAATCAAAGAATGGTCCAGTGCCAGTGTAAAGTACTACTTCTGGAAGGAAGGGGTGGCTGTGGAAGACATAGCATCACTCTACAGATAGACAATAATGCTGGACATACTGGTGGAAACTCCAAGTCCAATAAGAACTCAGATATGAGTACAAATGCCTTAAAATGGAATTGAAAAACCCTTTATTTTCCCCTATCATTTAGTGGATGGGTGGGTTGGTGTATTTTGTTTTGTAATTGCTTTTTTAACATTAGTTGATAGATTAAATTAAAATTCTTCAGTGCAAAATAGTGAAGACCTAGCCTAGAGCCATTGATCATAAACTGACTATGATAAAAGCAAAACAAGTGAAATAACAGGATGGACATGGTGGCTTTGTTTACAAATAGCCACAAAAGGAAAGACTTGTAATATTTTTATATACAGAAGAAATCTGTAACAGGTATTTTGTTTCCTTAAAAGCAAGCAAAGCGGAGGAATTTATACCTCAAACTATCTGGCCATATTTGCTACCTTATCATTGTATTATTCTCTTTTATCTGTTTAAAGCATATAGAGATAAAATTTGTAGTTGTTTTAAGTACTACACATTTTAAATTGTTAGTTCCTTAAGTATATCATGTAAAGAAATGTCTTAAATTTTGAAAAAAGTACATATTTATTTTCTTTTGAGTTGTTTTTATTGTTTTATATTTATGCTTTGATGATTTAATTTGGATTTTTTACAGCCAAGTGCCAAAAGCTCTCTCAAATTGTCAGCAGTAGAAAACATATTTAACTAGACACAGATAATGATGGACTTCTTTCTAGATTTTTTGAACCATCCACTTACCTGCATTAAAAATAACAAAACCCTTTCCATGTTCATACACTAGTCAAATCTCTCACAGTCTGAATGATCCTATTCATTTTTCCTTCTCCATTTATTATAAACTGCTCCTAATTCAGTGGAATATGCTGGCTTGTATGTAATGGAATTTCAAGCAGATGACATACCTTTCCTGCTCCGGTGCTTTTTTCATCAACTCCCTTCATTAGGTAAAGAAGCCATGTTAGAGCTCCTGAGAATAGCTACACTGGAAAGAATTGGAATCCTATGTAGATTGCTGCATTAATTGGCAACACACCCTATGCCAATGCATGAGTCAAAAAATCACTAGCTTACTGGCTTTGATAAGTCACTTAATATTGTTGTTTAAACTTGCTGAGCTATTTACAGAGAATGATGATAACTAAACTACTCATCTACATCACTGGGGTTTAGGTCAATTAATTAAGCATTGTGATCTTCAATACCAGGCATTATTATCTTTAAGAGTCTTCCATTTCAATGTACCTATTGTAATTTTGGTGTATAACTTAGAAGCACTGAACTTCCTTCAATTTATTGGACTTACCATTTTCAAAATAGTGGGTCATCTAGCAAATGCCTCAAAATATGTAGGCAATAGAGAGATCTCTCATTGCAGGGATTTAGACTATTACATAAAGGCCAAATATGAGCATGCTCAGTAATATTTGAAAGGATGTACCTGGTGGAAATCTAGCTATTGATATATTCCAAAGCAGCATTTTAGCTCTATACTCTTTCTAATGCTGATATGATCATGGGTTTAAGAAATGCATATGTCACAAGGATAGAATAAACAAAAAAATGCTGCAAATTTTATGTTCTTATGCAAAATGGAACACTAATGAAATACAGCTTAAAATCACAAATCAAAATTGACAATTGCTAATCTGTTATAGGTTTAGTGTAATAAGGCTTAGATTGTGTTCCTTCAGATATGAGATCATTTCTCAAATTTTGATAATATTCTTAATAGTCAAATCACACTACTAGAATTCTGTATTGGATATAATAAGAGCATGAACATCTTAAAAAGATATGTGTAATTATGAAAATAATCACAAATTTCACTTAAGCCTGCTAGAAGCAGCTAGAAAAAAAATTTTAATCAAATATTTTGTGTTTTGGAATATTAAAATGAGATCTGAATCTGATTTCAATCTCATTTTTTTTCCAGGCTAGGATTTATGTTTTTAGATACTGTTCTGAGCAGACTCAATATAATCTGTGCATTTTCTAAACTAATAGAAGTTGAGGATTGCTGAATCTATTTCACTTATTTTGGCTGTGGTTTCCCTTTGAAAGTAGAGGTTCTATACATAGCATATTGCTCTTCATTTTTTGAATATTTTTCTACCTGACCTCTTATAGATTTACTTTATGCAATTCTTACCCTGTACATATGTAAACATAAGTGTACGATTCTTAACTGTGGAGTAGAGGTACTAGAATGCTTTTGGCCATCTCTTTGTACAGAAACTTCATTGGCATTCAATAAACATAAACCACAACTCCTTCAAAATGTTATGTACCATATTATCTGTTTTGTATCTTAAATTTGATTTACATGTATTATTTATTTCTGGTAACTCACCCAGTTTGTGCTGTGCTAAATGTCAATTAAGCCATGGATAAATGTGTATGATTGACAATATATGTTTACTTTAAACTTGTCTTTTCAAAACATTACTCATTTAGTTTATGTTGTACAATGTAGATGGCCTCTTACTAATGTAAAATGATTTGTAGTGGAAACATTTATATTTTTATAATAAACATAATGAAAATATTTTTTACAGATTGGAATACAGAAGTGGTCTTTGAAGTTTTTTTTTAATATAAAAGTATGCTCATTTTTAAATACCAAAATAATGAAATTTATATGTCACAAAAAATGTGCTTCTGTTTCCTTTTTCTCCATTAGTGAAGAGAGAGGGATTCATGTTATGTGATCCTCATTTTATGGTCCAAATTCCATTATCAATAAGCTAGAACAATCATCAGTAAATATTATCTTCCTAGTTAATAAACACACCGTATTAGTTCTCTTTTGATTACAAGTGACAAAAAGTAGATAAATCAACTTAAAGATAAAAAGAAAATGTTAAGCCCATGTGACTGAAAACTCTGGGGATAAACTCCCTACCTGAGAGAGCAGGCACAGATGGAACCAGGAATTCCAACAATGTCATCAGAATTAAGTATCTTGTTCTATATGCTTTCTTTCTTTGACCTTATTTTTTTCCCAACTGGATTAATTTGCAAGCTATATCTTTTTACAAGGTGGAAAATACTGCTCTATTTAATATACTTCTGCATTTAAATTCCTGTGAAATAATTGCTGTTCTTTAATTATTCTGATAGAAATTGTGAGTACTTGCTCGGGTCACAGCTCTATTGCTTTGGGCTGGGCAATAAATTACTAAGATTGGCAAGTACTCAGTCCCTGTGCTTGGCCTTGGAGACAGTGAGTGGAATCATGTGGAAGTGATGTTCTACAGAAATTGTAGATGTCAGAGTGTTTTGTTTCCAAAAGAAAGTCAGAATATCCTTTATGAAAAAGAAAAGAATTCTGGTCAGGCCAAATGAAACAAATAAAAATGGAAAAAACAAACAACTATAACTGAAAACCAAATGCTAAAACACATATAATACTTTGTATAAAGTAGGTCCCTTTCACACTCAACTTAAAGAAAATGATTATACATGAAAATAAAATTTTAAAAAAGCTAACTTAAAATATATGCAAAATGATCTTTTGGGTAGATGCCCAGTAGTGGAATTGCTGGATGAAATGGTAGATCTACTTGTATCACTTTGAGGTATCTCCATATTGCTTTCCACAGAGGTTGAACTAGTTTGCAGTCACTTTATGAAAAAGACACCTGCACTCGAATGTTTATAGCAGCACAATTCACAATTGCAAAGTTGTGGAAACAACCCAAGTGCCCATCAATTCATGAGTGAATTAATAAAATGTGGTATATGTATACCATGGAGTACTATTCAGCTTTAAGAAACAATGGTGATATAGGACTTGTATATTCCTGGATAGAGCTGGAACCCATTCTACTAAGTGAAGTATCTCAAGAATGGAAAAACCAGCACCACATGTACTCACCAGCAAATTGGTATTAACAGATCAACACCTAAGTGGACATATAGGAGTAACATTTATCAGGTGTTGGGAGGGTGAGAGGGGGGAGGAGGGAGTATATAGAACCACAACGAGTAAGATGTGCAGCGTTTGGGGGATGGACATGCTTGAAGCTCTAACTCGAGGGGGGAGGGGGGCATGGGCAAAATATGTAACCTTACACTGTACCCATAATACACTAAATATAAAATAAAATAAAATATCAAATGAGATGAATTGACTGATATTGAGAAGAAAGTAGTATGGAAAGTCACAACAGGTCATATTTGTGTTTACCTTTAAGGTTGAGTGAAGTAGAGACTATCTTGGAAGCACATTAGCTAAGTAAAGGGGAAGAGATAAAGAAGAATATATTTATTCACTCAATAAATACTTAGTAAGCACTGCTATGTGCCAGGTGTTTTGCTATCAACATTTACAAATTACATCATTGAATTTTCGCTACACTTGTGTGAATAGATATTGCTCACTTTTTTTTTTTTATTTCAACATAGTATGGGGGTACAAATGTTTAGGTTACGTGTATTGCTTCCCCCCCCCAGAATCAGAGCTTCAAGCATGTCCATCTCCCAGACGGTGAGCATCACACTCATTATGTATGTATATACCCATCCCTTCCTCCCCCCTCCCATATGCCCGATGCCTGATAAATGTTTTTCCTATATGTCCACTTAGGTGTTCATCAGTTAATAGCAATTTGATATTGCTCACTTTTAAGTGAAGAGGGTATCCAGGCTCCAATGTTCAAGTCACCTTCCAAGGTCAACCCTAGTGTATAGATAGATATTTTAAACTGAAATCTTCTTATTCTGTTTTCTTTCCATCATATTATAGCTGTTGTTATCCCATGTGCTCTGGGGACAGTGACAGCGGTACTTCAATCTGAAAGCTCATTGTGCTTTCTCTTACACCCTGTCCCAATGTTTCACAGGAATTTCTACCAAATTGCTTTCAAGTTTAATTCTTTCTGTGTCTGATTCCTGAAGATATTAAACAGAGATGACTACGAAGTTGATTAACCTGGAAACTAAAATGTCATCCTTTACTCTTCCTTCCACGTCCTCCTGAGCGTCTAACAGTTCTCCTAAGCCATGAAACCATCTTAGGAATGTCGCTTCCTTCCCTTTTCTCTGTCACACACCACAACCTCGGTTAGTCCCTCACTACTTGCCTGGAATACCGAAAAAGCTTCCTAAATTATGCCTCTGACTCCAGTTCTCATTTCTTCAAAACAATGTTCAATAGGCAGCCAAACTGGTATAGCAAATTTAATTTTGTAGTTCTTTCCCAGGAGTCTTGCATACTCAAATGCCTCAGGGGCCTGACAGCCTACAAAAATGAGTGAAGCAAGTGAAGTGTGTGGTGATCCATAAAGGCACCTTGCCTTCCTCTAAAAGCAACTTCTCAGATATAAGGCAACACCAATCCAGCCCAAATTTCTGATTTTTCAAGAAAATGCTTAATCAGAATTTTTGTGAGAAATTTGTATGTATTTAAAACATAACTCATCAAATTACTGCCCCCCCCACACACACACACTCTTGTATACACACTCATAGGCTGCACTTAGCCTGCAATGGCCAACTTTTCATTTCTAGATTTCTAGAATACAGAATACTCTGGTGTTGGCACATGCGACCTGTCTTGACTAAAACCCTGCTTCTCTCCTTATTTTCCCATTGGTCTACTAGCTCCTCATCCTATACACAACTGTACTGAACCACTTGTAGTTCCCTGAGTATGCTACACTTTTTAAAATGCACCACGGCCTTATTAACTTTTCAGTCCTCTGTCTAGAACCACTTAACCAATCTCTATTCATGCTTCAGGTTTCCTTATCTCCCCATCACTAGTTAGATGACCTTTTCTTGTGCAGCAATAGGACTCTATGCTTAAAAATGTCATAACATTTGCCATCTTAACTGAAATTGCCTGTTCTTTATGCCCCATCCCTACTCCTAGCTGAGGATACCTTGAACAGAAACTGCGCCTTGTAAACCACTGTTGCTGTGTTGCCCATTCAAGGTGCCTGCTTATAATAAGCGTGAAAAGAATTTTTGAGTTTAATTAATACATTTATTATGTTTGATAACACAATAAAGGGTGATATTCCTGATTTTTTTTCCCTGTAGGGAGAAGTGTAAATTTCCTTCAGGTCAATAAAACTAGTTAATGTTCTAGTTACATATCTTGGATCATTGAATATACTGATCTCTGTGAGAACTGGTTCATTTTCATTGAATTTTGTGAACTTATTTCATTGGTCTCAATGCTCCCATTTTTTTTAGTACAGTTAAGTCATTTAAGTAGACCCTTAAACCAGAGCTTAGCTATAAAATTTTAACAAGGTAAATGCCAAAGCTTTCTGATCCTTTCTACTCACTTTTACTATGTACAAATAACATCAATGTGCCTACTAAAAACTGCCCTTCTTATGAGGCATCTGGGATGCACATTCTATTGACCCAGACTATCTAGATACAATTTGGGAAAATAAGTGGTAGAGTTAAATATACCATAAAATGAAGATTTTGGTGGTTTACAGAAGTCCTTACCCTAAAATTCTCTGGGAAAACCTAGCGTTGGAGAATAGCCATAATTGTGTAACATTTCCTGCTAGGTGGGCTATCACCTTTCTTTTATGAAGAAAGATAATTTTCCACTTAAATTAGAGATAATTAAAGTGTTACTAGCAATGATAATAAACAAAAATAAAATAAGCTGCTTGATATCTATTACATATATGTACACACACATATATAAGCTTTATATTTAACTGTTCCAAGCAATTATAGTTAATGACAATTGAGCATTTACCATGTACAAAGCCCTTAATATATATTATTTGATTTAATTTTTCCAGCAGTTCAATGAAGTAATTATATTGTTATCCACTTTATAGGTTAAGATTTAAAATAATGAATATTCATATAAGGTCATACAGCTAGCAAGTAGAAGAACTGAAGTCAAAATCAACTCTGGAATCCTTCTGAATTACTACACTCCATTAGCTTTCAGGACAGTATTACAACTGAGGATAAAATCTGAAGGAAAATTAGGAAATTCTTTCTGAATTAAGATCTCAGGTAGTCTCCATTTTCATTTTTTAATGCGCATGATGTTATTCAGTAACTCTACTGGTAAAGACACATTTCTGCAGAATCCGTTGATTTTTACTACCATGGTAGGGAAGGAACTGGGAGTTATCCTTGATTTCATTTCTGTGAACTCCATTTCAATAGCATGAGATTTGTCTGACATATGGTGAACCCTTCAAGCAAACATGCTTCCCTGAACATTTAACAAATAATCTAATTTGGAAACACCAAATACCACAAGGAAAAAGTAGTACTCTTGTGCTATTTTCTGACAGATTTCCACACCAATGATTTATGGAAGTGTGTTAAGTTTGGGATTTTTATCTGAAGCCAAGAAAAAACCCCTTGCCTGTTTGAAGCCTATCGCCCTCAATGATGGAAGCCAAAACCTTGGAATGTTGCTAAAATCAAGGATGAGAGAACACAGAATGTCATGTACTATCAAGAACTTATTGACTTTCATATGGTTCTCATTTATTCTCATACATGGCAAATCAAAAGCCTTGGGAGGAAGCCAATACAAATTGTTATAGATAACACTATCTGAACTT